TAAAATAAATACAATTTTTTGTCGTTTTTGTAAAAAAAGTTGGTAAAGGCTTGGCACTGCTGCTTAGAACCCGTTTAGCAGCACCACTGACAACTGCCAACATTAAATGAACAGCAACAACAGGTAGGTACCCAATTGTTTTTGTTGTTGCTGGTGGTGGTGGTTTTCTTTTATTTGCATTAAATTTCAACATTACTGCTATATTTGTTTTTCTTATGGTTGAGTTTTTTTATTTTTGGGACAAAACGATTTTGTTTAAAAGCTTTTGTTGTGATGGAAACCATGTGCCCTTTGGGTACACAAACAATTGGCGTCGTTTTGTACCCATAAGAGAGTGGGGAGAACCCTAATTTTTGATATTCATCAAAGGGGATTGTTGAATGTAGCCATGGAAAAGTTCTCAGTTTTTATTAGTCCGTTTTATTAAATATAAAATCAATGTAGCCATCGGCCTATATATCTATTTACCTTTTACCCGATCTACAGAAGGCCTAAACGTCATTACCTGCACAACAATGCAGATATCTTAATATTATTTTTTTCTCGATTCAGATCAGTATATACTGAAGGAATCAAATATATCCTACATGTACCCTACCTGTCTATCCACATATCTATCTGTCAATCCAGTCACCGACGTAGCCGGAAACCATTTCGCGGCAAAAAATTATATTTTATACCCTCAGCCATATGGCTAGAGAGGGTATATATCATTTGATACAAAGCATGTATCATCGAAAATCCGTTTCACGACATTTGGAGTCGATCTAGCGATGTCCGTCCGTCTTTCAGGCTGGCTGTTGCTCGCAATAACTCTCGAAGGGAGTATCCGATTTGATTCAAACTTGATACATCGTAATATTATTATCAAACTTAGATCGAGTTCGGAGATGGGCAATATTGGTCTACTTCTTCTGGTACCTCCCCAACAAAATTTCGACTTGTAATAAAATATATTTTTTAGTGCACATAAGGGGAAAGGACAATCCAATTTTGCTCCAACTTTACATATCCTAATATTTGCATCAATGCCAGGTCTGGTGCACTCGGCCCACTCCATCAAGTACGCCCCCCCCCACAAAGTGTCAAAATTTGGAATAATTATAACTCTTATTAAATGTAATGCATGAATCCAATTGTCTTCAAATTACACATATCACAATATATTTATTAATCCAAGTTCTGGTGTAAAGATGGAATATATCGGTCCACTTCCATCTGGTACCTCCCTCACAAAGGGTCAAAATTTTTAATAACCATAAAGCTCGTAAAGCGCAAAATTAACATCCGATTCCATTCAGACATGGCACATCTCAATATTTCCATCAACACATGATATGTTTTAAAGATGGTAGAGATCGGACCATTTCTTTTGGCACCTCCCTCACAAAGGGTCAAAGTTTTGAATAACCAAAGCGATTATAAAATCCGAAATAAGCATCCGGTTCTCTTCATATTTCACACATTATATTATTTCTACTAACACAAAATCTGCTGTGAAGATGTTACATATCGGACCACTCCTACTGGTACATATCGGACTACTCCGCCACAAAGTATAAGTAAGAGTCCTATTATCTTCTAATTTCGCACAATTAAATTTTTCCACTAAGACAAGGCCTGGTATGAAAAACGGACCACTTCTTCTAGTACCTCCCCCACAAAGGGTAAAAATTTGGAACAGCTATTTAAGCAAATAAAACGCGAAATGAGCATCCGATTACTTTCAAACTCTGTACATTCCAATACTTCTATCAACACAAGATGTGTTGTGAAGATGGACAATTTCGGACTACTACTTCTGGTACCTCCCCCATAACGGGTCAAAATTTTAAATACCTTTAACTCTCATAAAACGTAAATTTTTCGAAATATCATAATTTAAAGAGAAGCAAATAGTCGATAAAAAAATCCATCATCACACTTATACGTTGTGGAAAATATTGGTCCACTCCTTCGGAACCACTCCTAGGAAGGTCCAATAGTTTGAGTATTCATAACGCAATTTAAAATATATTAAAATAACCAAACATTGGCTGAGGGTATGCAGCTGATTTCATTTAACTTGTTTATCGCGAAATTAGTAGTAAGCTTCTGGCCACTAAAAATTAATAAATAAATACTTTTATGATCATTTTTAGTTGTCAAAGTCAACAAATAAGTAGTTGTTTAATATTTAAAACCTTTACTGGCCAGAAAATAACTTCTGTTTAAATAATGCTTTGGTAAGCAGATTTGTAATGAGTATTTTTGGTGGGTAGCTTTCGTGGATCCAATGATACCACCAAACCAAGACGTACCAAAATCATATCGTCAATATCGGCCAAGGAGATGCGGGTCTAACCCGGATCTAGAAACTGGATTTTTACGATCGAATATTCGAGTACCCGGTTCTGTCCCTTAATCATGAAAAATATAACAATAAAAATATCAACCTTTAAAAAAAACGCAGAGTTTTTACTAAATTAGAGTTAAGCCTAAAAATGTCCAAAAACTCTTTTATTTTTTATACCCTCCACCAATGGAGGGCATATTAGCTTTGTCATTCCGTTTGTAACATCCCATAAAGTATATATATATTCATAATGAACATAAAATTCTAAGTCGATTTAACGATGTCCGTCCGTTTGTCTGTTGAAATCACGATGCAGCCCACATTATTTGGCGTAGACCTTTAAAATTTGGCAGAATAATTTGTATTGTGTCTAGGATAGTTGGTATTGAAAATGAGATATATCGGTCCACGTTTTGGCATAGCCGCCACACAACGGTACCTCCCGATATGGGGTATTTTGATGAGTTTCGCTACATTTTTTCCACGAATTTGTCTAAAATTTGGTACATGTGGGTCATAATGGGTTCTAATTTTACAGGCGAAACATTGCATGTATGGGTCCACGTTTTCGTATAGCCCACATATATCGGTACCTCCCGAAATTCGGTATTTTGATTACTTTTGCCATATTTTTCCACGGATTTGTCCAAAAATTGGTATTTGTTTGTCATAATGGGTTCTAGCTCGTGTGGCGAAACATTGAAGTTATAGGTCTACGTTGTTGTAACGGTACCTCCAGATATTCGGTATATTGATGATTTTTGCCACATTTTCCCACAAATTGGTCTAAAAGTTGGTATGGGTTCTAGCTCCTATGGCGAAGCATTATATCTATAGGTCCACGTTTGGTATAGGTTCCTGTTTTAGTATGGTCCCATATAACGGCCTCACTCACTTTTTTTTTGATAAATTTAACTGTATTATGCGAACAGTCTTACTGGTATATGTAATTTAAGGTGAAGAACTCTTGAATTGAGATACTTTAAAAAAAAATGTTTCCTTTAGCCTAAGGTGGAGAGCATAGAAAGTTCGGCCTGGTCGAACTTAATGTTTTATTACTTGTTTTTTTTTTTTTTTTTTTTTTTTTTAATTTGTTCGGTTTCTGAAACTTATCCAATATTTCTGGCAAATTTGTATTAATTTTTGGAGTCTGCTATGCACATTTGTCTAGGGGCAGTTTTGGCTCACTGTTTACAGAGAAACTTTTCAGTTGTAGTTTTTATTTTTTTCGATTAAAACAAAGTACCGAAAAAAGTACAACAGTATCAAATAGTACAGGTGTTGTCGGCATAATTTCCTTTTTTTTGGCATCCTCATGTTAGGGAATTACAACACTTTAAGCCTTGTGTTTAGGCATTTTTTTAAAAAAATAATATTTTTCTCATGAGTCGTTATCCATTTTTGCGTTTTTATCCTTTTCCTGTTTTTTTTTTTTTATTTTTCTTATTTGTTTTTTTTTTTTTTTTTTTTTTTTTGGTTTAGTTATGAATCACACCACAATGAAGTCACATGGATTATTTTTCGTATCCTAACGAAAAGAAAGCAACAACATGCTTTTAAGGGGTTGCAACAGCACACACACACACATGGTCACACACAAATACAAACACAAAAGACTCATATAAAATTTAGCTTCTTAAAAAAGCCGGATTTTCTTATAGTAGATATTGGCGTTTTTTCTTATTTGGTTTTTGGCAAAAAATCAATTTTTTCAGAGGGTTTCATGTTTAATATTCCCGTATTTTTGTCGATTTTTTTTAAAATTTCGTTCTTTGGCATTTTAAAAAAATACAATTTTTTATTTACAGGTTGTTGCACATTTTGTTTGTTTATTTTTCCATTATTTTTAATATTTTATTAGATATTATGTACTGCTCATTAAATTTATTATCGAAAACTCCGTATGAGGCCGGTGGGATTAACAACACATCAGTTATGTTTTATAAATTCTTTCTTGATTATGATATTTTTTGTTGTGTTGTATTATTTTTTTCTTAATTAATTTCACACCAAGCGTAGAGCAACAACAACAAAAAAAATAATTTTTGATTATACTACTTTTTTTTCTATTTTTTATTTTTTCAACAATTTTCATTAATAAAGAACAAAAACAAATCGAGCAACAACACTTTATCATTATCGTCACACACACACAGAGACACAAAAACTCATCATCGCTGAAAACCACCAACCATTCAAAACAAGCACTGACTGCTGCTGCTGCATTCAAAGACTTTGATGTTGTTGCTGTTGCTTTTTTCTCATAACGTCGACAACAACAATAAACGCGCGTTTCTTCATTTAACCGCTTTTCAAATGTTTACGTTTTGCTTGCAAAATGAAACTGAAGCAAAGAAAATTTTCAAATTTCCTCCAGTCCAGTGAGTGCTGTTGTTTCGGTAGGTTCGATGTTGGCCCTGTTGCTCCGACAACATAGCAGACAACAAACGCACACCAAATAATGCCGTTCATACAGAGGGAATTGCAGGTTTCCCTTATATTTTAATAGCATACAAGTTCGTTGCAACATGTTCGAATGGTTTCATTGTTGGAGAGGAAATGTAAAACCAAAATAGAGGAAATAGTTCTCTCACGCTCTCTCATTTAGTGGAATGGCTCTCATTGCTGCTGTTAACATTTGTAAACAATGCAAAGTTAACAGGAAATGGAAATGATTGCCGGTAGAAATGTGTTTATTTAATTGCAAGCAACATGCTCGAACAGTGTTACCGTTTCTCCAGCAATAGAATGACCAAAGCTAAATTGAATGGAGAAATTTAGAAAAATTACTAACATAAATCAATGTTCGGCACTTAAATGTTTTCCAACTATATTTATTTACAAAATTGCACTAGGATAAAAAATTATTTATAATTAATTATAAAGTACAAATATTAATTATAAAGTACAAAAAAAAAAATGAAAATATAACAAACATAAAAAAAAAAAATTTTAAGTTCTTAAAAATTTTCTAATTTTCATTAAAAATCATTTGACATTTTTTGAAAAAAAAATCTACGATTGTTTGTGCCCTCAATAATTTTCCAGAGGAATCCACAATAAGCTCTCCATAAAATTTAAAAGATCCACAAATTTTTATCAAAAAAAAAAAAAAAAAAAAAAAAAAAAAAAAGCCTAAGAAAATCCACGATATTTAGGAAATTTTATAACATTTTCTTAAAAAAAAATTACTATTTTAAAGCAGCAAAATTTTTAAATTTACACAATCCTCAGCCTGGGGAGGAAGTGAATATTTAAAAAAATCCACAATTTAAAAAAAATTTCATAACTTTTTCAAAGTCCATAAAAATCTACTAATTTTGATTAGAAACCCTCTTATATTTTTTGGAAGCAATATACGATTGTTTGTGCCTTCAATAATTTTCAGAAGAATCCACAGTGAACTCTCCATAAAATTTTTAAAATCCACAATTTTTTATCAAAAATAAAAATAGATTTACGAAGAAAATCCACGATGTTTAGGAAATTGTATTTCTTAAAGAATTCACTATTTTAAGCAGCATAATTTTAAATTTTCAGCCAGGGAAGTAAGTGAATTAAAAAAAACACCATTTTTTGCAAGTCCTTAAAAACCGGAAAAATTTTTCCTTTTAAAAATATATATTCTTTAATTCTGAAATATTCAAAAATTTCTTTAAAAATCTTTAATTATTCACGATTTTTAATCGGTTAAAAATTAAAATCCGTTAAAGATATTGGTAACTTTTGTCATAAACCATTACAATATTCAAATGCGAAAAGAATCGGTGTAGCTAAAATCATCAAAATGCCGAATATAGGGAGGTACCGTTATATGAGGGGTTATATCAAAACGTGGACCTGCAAAAACAATAATCAATCATAGGCTGTAGTATCCATTACGAACTTCACATACCAAATTCGAAACAATCCCGGTGAATAATGTAGCTAAAATCATCAAAATACCGAATATAGGGAGGTCCTATTATATGGGGACTATACAAAGGCGTGAATCTGCACGACAATTTTCTGTCATAGGCTGTAATATCCATTACGAACTTTAAATACCAAATACGAACCTATTCTGGTGAATAATGTAGCTAAAATCATCAAAATACCGAATATAGGGAGGTCCTATTATATGGGGGCTACACCAAAACGTGGACCTGCACAGACAATTTTCTATCATAGGCTGTAGTATCCATTACGAACTTCATATACCGAATTTGAAAGAATTCCGGTAAATAATGTCTCTAAAATCATAAAAATATCGAATATCGAGAGGTGCCGTTATATGGGGGCTATACGAAGGTGTGGATCTGCACGACAATTTTCTGTCATAGTCTGTAGTCATTACGAATTTCTAATTCCAAATTCGAAACAATTCCGCTGAATTATGTCGCTAAAATCATCAAAATACCGAACATAGGTAGGTGCCGTTATATGGGGGCTATACAAAGGCGTGGACCTGCACAGACAATTTTCTATCACAGGATGTAGTATCCATTACGAACTTTAAATACCAAATTCGAAACTATTCCGGCGAATAATGTCGCTTAAATCACCAAAATACCGAAAATAGGGAGGTACCATTATATGGGGGCTATATACCATACGTGGACCTACATGACCCATTTTCAATACCAAATGTCCTGCAGACATAATATGCATTTCAGTAAAATTTTATTAATCTACTTCGGAAGCTAGAGTGATTTCCACAGACGGACAGATGGACGAACATCGAAATCGACATAGAATTTTATGTTGATCACGAAGATATATACTTTGTGGGGTCTAAAGTGTATATTTCGAGGTGTTACAAACGGAATGACAAACTTAATATAGAGGGTATATACTATGGTGGAGGGTAAAAAATAGACCATATTTAGGACCTTCAAAAAAAAAATTCACTAATTTTGCTGGCTTTAAAAATCTTCTAATTTGGTTAAAATATTCTATAAAAAATATTTTTGATTTTTTGGTCCTTAAATAATGCTTAAAGAACCAAGCATTTTTGGTCAAAGGAACATTAAATAAAATTTCTTTCAAGAAATCCACAATTTTTAGTCAGTCGAAGAAAATCACGAAATTTTGCAAGAATTTTTATAAAAAAACGTTTAAAAATATTTTTTAAAAATTAATAATCTTCAGGTCCAAAAAAAAAAAAAAAAATAAAGGAATCCTCCATTTTTGGTCGGCAGGCCTATACATAAGAATTTTTAAGTCCCTAATACACTAGAGTTTGGATATGAAATCCAGTAAAAACAAGTAAGCAAAGGCTATAGTCGTGCGGGGCCGACCACGTGATACCCTACAACACTACTGTATGTTAGAAGCCCCCTTATATTCAGATCGATTTTGGAAGATTTCTCTTTTGAAATTATGTCACGGAGCACTGACCTAAGCAGGGACATTTGCCCAATAAGCACTCCGTCATGCTGTTAGTTGTTGTGGTCCATTTTCCATCAAAAACGCTAGAATCCTTCCCTGTCATTAACTCTCTTCTCAGGCGTGTCGATTGGCTTCATTTGTGTGATTAGGAAATTTTTTCTGTTTTTGGTTCATTTGAACCCCTAAATATTTTGCGATCATCTCCAAAAGCAAGAGGCCCCTCTGTATCTCTGAATTTAGACTCATCTATATGATTTCCTTTTCTATGATATTTGGCTGGATTCGTCAACGAAATCAGCATAAAAAAGCCAGAAGTTCGCTTCTTGTGTATTTCGGATATCGCCTGTAAGTAATGCTGGTATTTTTTCACACAAAAGTAGATGTCCATTCTACTCGCTGTCATAATCTCGAACTTCATGCGAGATTTCGTGTACTTTGGTTTCAATTTGTGACCTTTATAACGGCTGAAAATCAGGAACATTTTTAGTTGTTGATCCATTTCAACTCCCAAATATATTGCGGACATCTTTAAAACCAATAGATCTATCCCTTCTGAGCTTACCCTACCCTTGTGAAAATTTTCGTGAGGATCGGGCGGTATTTGCAATACTTATATACTGTGTTGTAAGGTGAAAAAAAAATATACAAAATAAAAGTCAAATTGAAAAAATCGCATGCGATAAAAAATATGAAAAATTAAAAATATGTCACAAAATACTACAAAATCTATATTAGCATCATTATTGGTATATTTTTTGCGATTTTTTTTTTTTTGATTTTATATTTTCATGTCAAGAGGGTATTCTGAATTGACAAAATTTGTCAAAATCGGTCCAGCCATTCTTGAGATATAAGCATTCTAACTAACATCCCCTTTCTTTGTATATACACATTGTATTTATTTCGCTATATATAACCGATATATTTACAATCGGCATCTACGTATCGGTCAGAATTGATCTGCTCGTCTATTTGTGATTTCGCCGGGATTAAAAATATTCGCGGTTTAATGGAAAATTTGACTTTTATTTAATACAAATGTTATGGTCTATTTCATCCACTAAATATTACCCGATGACCATCAAAATTGGAAGGCTTCTGCCCAGCACTAAGCTCAAGCCCCATGCTAACTTCCGCTTTGATTGGTCTATAATTGCGACCTGTTGAGCAACTGCAAAATTAGGAATTTTTTCAGTTTTTGGTCCATTTCAACCCCTAAATGTAATGCGATCATCTCCGATGTAAGTTCGGTCGGGGGGAGGGGGGAGATATGGGGGTAGAATTTTCTAATTTTTTTTTTTCTATAAAATTGTGTAGTTTCGGCCCAGGCCACTAGGTGCTTGCCAAATGCCTCTGAAATTGAGGTGGAAACAGGTCCCAACTTTGGTGGCAAAATTGTAGTGGATGGCGGCAATTGCGGCGTCAAGGGCAACCCAAATGATGTCAAGGATAAATATGTCATGCGCATCGATCACAAGGCCTGTGGCAGCATGGTCAAGCCGGAAACAAATACCGTGGAAACGTTCATAACTGTCCAGGAGAATTTGGGAATTTTCACACACAGCACCAGGAGGTAATAATAGAGAGAGGGCGACGAGGGGAGGGGGTAATATGGGACCTTCCCGAATTCTAAATTCTTAACTCCAACCGAATTTCTTTTTTTGTCTTTTCCCAATTTCTCCAGATTCGTTGTGGTCTGCAGCTATCAATCCGGCATGCAAACAGTGCGTGCCAGTTTCTCGGTACCTGGCAGAGGTGGCGCCGTGGCCGCTGCCCATGAATCCATTGAGGAGGAGGAACGTATGGGTCGTGGCCTTAAACCTTTTCGCTTTGTCGACAAATCCGAATTAATTCTCAAAGAGAATGACGTGGATACAGAAGAAGCGGCAACACAGTCATCCGAAGAAACTGAGGCTTTGGTTCAAGAAATGGACAATCCCACAGGGGCCAGTGGCTTGAATCAAACTGAGGTAACGGTGGCCACAACAAATCATGAAGCGGAGGTTGCCGGCAAAAATCATCATCAAGAAGATGAAGCAAACGAAGAAGAGGATGCCACAAATGCTGTGGCAATATTGGAAAATATCATACCTGGTGTTAATGAAGATCACATAAGAGGCAATGAGCCACAGCAGCAACAACAACAAGAAACATCAAGTGTACAGGCTGGGGAAGATGATGTGGAGATCAGTGGCGGGGAGAAGTTATCGGAGGAAAACGACGATGCCAACAAAGAAAATATTGAAAATGAACATTTTTCCGCAAATTTTGCTAAATTAATATTGGAGCGCAATGACCGTGACCATGAGGTGGCCGAGGGCAGAAGCTATGATGGAGCTGCGTCCAAGCTGAGTGATACGCCCACAGGAAGAGGTGAGCATTATTTTTGTAATATTTATTTGAGCGACAAAAAAAATAATTACGGGGGGTGGGAAAAAGACAGTTCAGCGTTTTGAAAATTTGCACCGAAAAGTAACTAAAATAGAGGGGCAAGTTCCCCCTCCTCCACACTTTTGAAAATTTTAGGATTAAGATTCCTCGGAATCTGTGCATTTTAGGTATATAGTGTCTTAAATAATATTGCAGATAAAATATGGGGACTATTTTGATCGAAAACTTTAACCCTCCAATGAGCCATAAAGGGACATTTTTGGTCATTCTTTAAAAAAAGATAAAAAACATAGTTTAAACGGGATAGTAACAAGTCAAAATATTTGGCATATATGCTAAAGGTCCTGGAAGACGTCAAAAATCTTAATCTTACATAAACACCTGAAATTCAAACACATTTTAGGGTTCAAACCGCACATTTTGTGAGTTCGAGCAAAAGTCTCCAAAAAAGCATAATTTTTAAATGCATGACGTCAAAGACAAAAATATTCTTCTTCTACTCAAAAAGAAATCGCTATTTTCGGGTTATAAAAAAAATATCCGCATCAATATGCCAAAAAAAAAATATTCCGTATTTATACTCTCAGCCATATGGCTTCGAATGGTATACAGGGAGAGATGAAAAAACTGCAACCCACTTCAGACTGCTGTCATTTCTAAGCGACTCGTCCGAAAGCTCTTAAAATTATTCCAGTGACAGCTGATTATATTGCTTACAAGCGTACAAAAGCATTTTGGTGAGAATTTTTCAGAAAAAAAGTTATTCGCGATGGAATTCAAGCGGGACAGTGTGATTTCTTTATATTTGGCTGGAAAACGTTAGATCACTCCAGCATTTAAATGTAAATAAATCTTTTGTGTCTCGTGCCATCGCTCGTTACCGTGATAGCGTAGCCTGACGTCAAAGAAGTGGACGGAAGAACATAGCAACATCAGTAGAAATGGTTCGAAAAGTAACGAAGGGACTTGATTGAAACCCGCGTCGCAGTGGCCGAAAAAATGGCTCGTGAACTGAACATATCGCAATATTCCATTCGGCAAATATTGAAAGCTGAGCTCGGGGTAAAGCCATTGAAATTCCAAAAAGTGCAAGAACTTATACCGCAACAGGAAGAAAATAGACTCAAAAGAGCTAAAGCGTTGCTTCGATTGGCCGAAAGTGGTGAACTGCCGAATTTGGTTTTCTTCGATGAGGAAACATTCGTTGTCCAGCAGTTTGTAAATGAAACACAAACAAAATCATCGTGTTTACTTGCCAAAGAGGTCAGCTGAAAATGTGCACCTTCGGTTGGCCACCAGAAATCAAGTCCCGGCCATGGTGATGGTGTGGGCCGCCATAACAGCCGATGGTCGCTCTCCGCTCGTATTAATTGACCGTGGAATCAGAATAAATGCCGAATATTATTGCGAAAATATTCTGGAGGGTGTATTAAAGCCTTGGGCACGCAAACATTGTGGCTGCAGACCTTGGACATTCCACCAGAACTCAGCAACTTTGCGCTTAACACGCGCCACCCAAGAATGGTTACAAAATGAGGTTCCTCGCTTCATTTCCAGCGCACAATGGCCACCGAAATCTTCGGATACCAATCCGTTGGACTATTGTGTCTGGAGTATTTTGGAAAGCAAGGTTGCCAATAAAAAAATACCAAAGTGTCGATCACCTCAAGCAAGCGCTCCACCAGGAATGGGTCAAAATACCGCAGAGCAACATTCGAGCAGCGTGTGACGGTTTCATTGGCCGTGTGAAGGCCATAATTCGTGCCAAAGGTGACCAATTCGAAACAATTCTAATCTTATTCTAAAATTTGATGCTATTTTCGTCACTTTTTGCATTCATTCAATAAAATTTTAAAAAAATGTAAAAATTATGGCGTTTGACTTTGGTGCAGTTTTTTTATCTCACCCTGTATGGGGGAATATACGTAGACCTGGACCTGCATAAGCAATTTTCAGTCACAAGATGTAGTACCCGTTACGAAGTGCAAATACAAAATTGAAAACAATTTCGGTGAATAATGTCGCAAAACTCATCAAAGTACCGAATTTAGGGAGGTACCGTTATATGGGAGCTATACGAGAACGTGGACCTGCATTTGAAATATCCTGTCACAGGCTGTAGTACCCTATAGGAACTTCAAATACGAAATTTTGCCGGTGAATATATAGCTCATTTTCCATAACAAAAGTCCTACTGTCCAAATACACATTTGAGTAAAATTTTAAAAACCTACTTCAATTTGTTTGGAAGCTAAAGGTATTTCCACAGACGGACAGACAGACAAATGAACTCACATGGCTGAATCGACATAGAATTTTATGCTGATCAAGAATATATACTTTGCAGGGTCTTAAAGGTATTTTTCGAGGTATTACAAACGGAATGACAAACTTAATATACCCTTCATACTGTATAGCATGATAGGATAATACAAATGTCTGAGCAAAATTTCAAAGCGACAGAATGCTTCCCTTAATTAATCTCCGTGTTTGAGGTTCTGATCCCACTGTGCGACGTTGTCCCAATCGATGGAATTTCCGAATTACAATTTATTTATTATTTATCGTAACATTAATACTATTTGCTACCTTTTGCTATTATAAAACCCTTTCAGATATCTTCTGTAAGTCCGTCTGCCACTATAAAAGTCCTATGGAGACATTAGCCTTTTTCTACCCTCCACCATACTATGGAGGGTATATTAACTTTGTCATTCCGTTTGTAACTCCTCGAAATACTCATGTCAGACCCAACAAAATATACATATTCTTGATCAGCGTAAAATTCTAAGTCGGTAGGCCATGTAGGTCCACCTTTTCATATAGCCCCCATATAACGGTACCTCCCGATATTTGGTATATTGATGATTTTAGCGACATTATTCACCGGAATTGTTTCAAATTTGGTATTTCAAGTTCGAAATGGATGCTACAGCCTAAGACAGAAAATTGTCTGTGCAGGTCTACATCTTCGTATAGCCCCCATATAACGGTACCTCCGGATATTCGGTATTTTGATGATTTTGGCGACATTATTTACCGCAATTGTTTCAAATTTGATATTTGAAGTTCGTAATGGATACTACAGCCTAAGACAGAAAATTGTGTATGCAGGTCCAGGTCTTCGTATAGGCCCCGTATATCAGTACCTTCTTCTGTTCTGTATTTTGACGATTTTAGGTACAATACTCACGGAAATTGTTTGAGATGTCGTATTTGAAGTTCGTAATGGATGCTACAGCCTGTAACAGAAAATTGTATGTGCAGGTCCAGGTCTTTGTATAGCTCAGATATAACGGTACCTCCCTATATACGATATTTTGATGATTTTAGCTACATTATTCACCGTTTATTTCAAGTTTTCGAATTTGAATATGGTAATGGCTTATGACTAACAAAGCCTATGTAGGTCCACGTCGTATAGACACCCCCCCCCCTTATAATGGCTATATTCGGTATTTTTAAAATTTTAACAGAATTTTTAACGAATTTCACTTTTTGAAAATTGCCAAATTTGTATCAAATGGTGGAGGGTATTCAAAATTCGGCCCGGCCGAACTTTTTTAGCATTTAGCATTTTAGCATTTTTACTTGTTTTTTTTAATCCCTAATTTTTTTTTAATTCTTAATTCCTTTACAGCCTTTGGTTCCATGTTGGAACTGATCTCCAGCAACATGGGTAGCGTTTTGCTAACTGTTATGGTATCTGTGATATTGATTGGCGTTTGCGTGTACATTCTCTATCGTGAGACCAGTAAGCCGGCCGCCCATATGTCGGCACCCACAATAACGCCGCCAGCATCGGCAATCTTGCAGCGGCATCAACATTTGAAGGAACTGCATCACCATCATCGTCACCAGCACCAGCAGCAGAAACACACACTGCCGCGTACATTAACAAGTAAACAGGAGGATCTAATGGCCTAGAATGGAGGAGAAGCAAATTAAGGGAAGCCTTTCACACCATCTCCCGCCACGAATAAAAAAGAAAGTGGAAAGAAAAGGTTCCCGCTCCAAAAAAAAAAAAAAAAAAAAAAAAAAAACATCCGCAATAAATCCCCCTTTTTAAAAAAAATAATACCCTCCATTATCTGCCCTCCTCCACCAGATAAAGGTTAAAGAACTATGCTTTATTGTCTTGCTGGAATATGTTGAAGTGGCTATTTTTTGTGGCAACTTTTTCGTGGGTTGCCATTTGGTGATAGGAAAAAGCAATCAAAGACTTCCATGCTCTTGGCAAAGAGAGAGAGAGAGAGAGAGAGAGAGAGCAAAAACCAACGTATTTCTTATCAAGTCGACAGAGCATAGTTTTGCAAACAACGTGATGCTTTGTAACATTTCTTTTTTACATATTTACATATACATACACACAGTTTTATACAAATACTCGTGTATTACATACATACATATGTACTCTTAGAATAGCAGAGATTAATTAAAAGAAAAAAAAGAAAATAAAATAAAACCTTAGCATGTCACTGAAGTAACTTCATTTGACAATCCCTCTCCACCTCTGGGGCATGCTAAGAATGAAACTCCCCCTTTTATGTCGTCTACCTTTTTTGTAAGTTCGTATTTAATTTAATTAATTAATTAGTTGTAATCGATAAGCACTTCTCTTGAATGATATTTTACTTTAAGACTATTTCTTAGCTGTAAGTACACATACACATATATACACCTTTTTTACGTATTTAATGTATAATATACAGATATATATTTTGAGAGTAATTTTAAATAAAAAAAATTAAATGAAAAATTAATTATTCAACAAAGTATTTTTATTGGGACTCATGCAACGACAAAGACAAGGGGAGGTAATGTTGAGATATTAAACTTATTGCACAATGGGGTAAGTTATATTAATTTATGTAAAGGGTGCTTTTTTTAAGCAAGATATAACTTTAAATTGTAAAAAGTAACACAAAAAATAAAATTTTGATGAAACTTTTTTTTTATTTATTTCAGTATACTCTGACAAATCATCATGAGAGACCATTATATGAGTCGCTCTTTCGCCGATTGGGCTCTAGAACAGTTGGCAAATGACCCGTTGTTTTGTTGCAAAATTGTGTCTAGCGATGAGACGCATTTTTGGCTTAACGGGTTTGTTAATCAGCAAAATTGCCACATATGGAGTGAGACCAATCCACAAGAGACCCTACAGACTCCATTACATACCATATGGTGCGGTTATTACGCTGGTGGCATCATCGGACCTTATTTCTTCAAAAATGAGGCCGGGGCTCGCGTTACGGTCAATGGATCAATGATTTTTTGTTTAAAAATATGGATGACATTGATCCAGAGAAGATGTGGTTTCAACAGGATGGCGTTACGTGCCATACGGCGAACGCAACCATCGACTTATTGAAATCAAAATTTGGCAATAAGTTGATTTCAAGAAGTGGACCTGTCAATTGACCTCCTAGGTCATGCGATTTGACACCTCTCGATTATTTCCTGTGGGGATATATATGCCTTATATTCCCAACTGATTTCAGATAATCGAATTTTTCCGATTTTCTAACCAAAGTGGCGGTTTCGGTAGGGAAACTGCATGGAGAATACTGAATTGCACAAAAACTGGCTGGGCTTAAATGAAAGGTCTCGAGGAGTACTTTCTGGCTATATAAGCCTTATATTGGGTGAAAAGGAATGGAGCTGGATTGCCGAAAATTTATACCTACCATCATGGTATAAATTTTCGGTAATCTGTGCTTAAGATATGGAGATGATCGCGGAAATATGTACTAAAATTGTACAAAAAGTACTAAGTGGAAATAAATTGGATATTAAGTGAAGAAATAGTGCTGGAGTCTCGAAAATTGATGTTGATGTCTATCTTGGTATCTGGGATTGATATATGGAACTGGTTTTGTGAAATGTGTACTACAATTGTGTGAAAAGTACTAAATTCGGTATTGGTTGAAGGGATAGAGAAAAATTCTAAAATGTAATATTCAGATAATTTTTGATATCTGAGGTTGGGATTTGATGGTGCATAAGGAAATGCGTACTATAGTTGTTCGAAGTACTAAATTGAACTAAATGTTGTATTGGTGGAAGGGATAGGAATGAAATCCTCAAATTTTATATTGAGATCGATGTTGGTATCTAGATTGAGACATTGAGGTGGTTTTGGAAATGTGTACTCTAATTGTTCGAAAAGAAGTAAGTGGTACTATCTTGGGTATTGGGTGAAGGGATAGAGCTGGAATTTCGAAATATACAGGCATGTCACAGAATGTAAAATCGCTCAAGAGTGAAAACGAAAACGGATTTAGCTTCTCTAAAAAACGGAAAACGCAAAAATTTTGCGTTTTGATATCACTTTCAAAAAGCAGGGTGAAATTGAAATGTTTGGTGATTTTAACGTAAAAAATAAACAGAAGACACATACATTTAACAGAAAATATTGTATTAACCAAATTCTCTTAGAATGAACATGTTTTTGGAATTTATTTTACAAAAAATCTATTATTTTTCTAATCCATGATGAAAACGCAAAAAAATATGCAGAAATGAACGGCAGACTTTTATTGTTGAATTATTGCCATATGTGTTGAAGAAGAAGGTGTAGAAATGTACAACTGACAGACCAAAAAGCAAGAAAGGGGAAAAACAAAAAAATAATTAATTGTTTGGTTTGAGACAGAGCGCTTCAGTCAATCCTCTACATAATTGTAGAAACTGTATTTCTCCCAAGGCTTAGCTCCACATCTCTACCTATAACTCCTTGAAATGCACCCGTAGCCAAAAACCTAAGCGTTGTTGCAAGCTGGATAATAGCCGGTATATTGGAACGTTTGAGGTGGGGAGAAATTTTTTCCAAAACTAAAACAAAAGGTTCTTTATTTAGCCGATAATAAGTTATAAATCTGTAGAAATAAATTATTATTAAAATAAATTTGAAAATAACTCATTGCTGGTGGATCCTTACTCTGCATTTGAGTGAGATAAAGGATCTGATGCGTTCCTCAATGTCCGGCGACGAATTTTTTCAGTAGACCGCTGATTTATTTCTTCATCCATTACAGCAAGTATTGAAGCCCCTGGCATTTTTACTTTTGGTGTTTTATAAAAAACAATTTTAACTCCATTTTTAATTGTCAATAATTTGTTTACGACTTTTTTTTTTCATGGAGTTACCATATTTTTAGTTCAAAAATGTGAAATGATTTTTTTTTCCGTATTAGTCAAAACGTACGAGTGCTGAAGAAGCAAAAGTAAATCGTAACGATTTGGAAAAGGTGAAATAAATCGATTTCGTAAAACTTCTGTGACATGCCTGATAATATACACTTCAATATTTTAAGTCAAATTGAAAAAATCGCATGCGATAAAAAATATGAACAAATAAAATATAACATCATTATTGACATCTTTCTATTTTTTTTTTTTTAGATTTTATACTTTTATGCCAAGAGGGCATTCCGAATTGACAATATTTGTCAAAATTGGTCCAGCCATTCTTCAGATATAAGCCTCCCTTCCACCCCACCTCCATTTTCAATTCCGTGAGGATCGAACTATAATTAACATGGACAGACGGACAGACAGACGGACGGACATACATAGCTAGATCGACTCAGCTCGGCGAGATAGGAAGATCCATATATACTTTCCTATGTGGGAAACCAATATTTCGAGGTGTTACATAATTGTTGGCCAATAAAACTTATCGACAATTTTTACAACATTTAATAAATGTGAAGGGAAGAGAGTTGAATTTATCGACAGTTATATACCCTCAGCTCCTATCTGTCAATAAAATACTTGATTATTCAAAATGTTTACCCTTTATTGGGTTGATACCGAAGGTGTGGGCCAATATTTTCTATACCGGAAGGTAACATAAGTAGTGGAAAGAGATATTTAGAAATATTGTAATTTTACCATTTGTGGTGGAGTTACCTGAAAGATCTAATGTCGATGAAGATACTGAATTATGCGATGTTAAAAAAACATAGAATAATTATACCCTCACGGTATATATCATTTGATACGGCCAAAACATGCCTCTTCGAAATAACGATTTTAGACCATAGGTCTCTTTGGAACAAATCCGTTTCAGGACATTTGGAGTCGATCTAGCGATGTTCGTCCGTCCGTTAGTCTGTCTGGCACGTTCGCACGATAACTCTCAAAGGGAGTATACGATTTGGTCCAAACTTTGTACATCGTTATATTTATGGCAAACTTAGATTAAGTTAGGAGATGGACAATATCGGTCCACTCCCCCAAAAAAAGATCAGATTTTTCATAAAAAATAATTTACCGCATGTGAAGAGAACGTATAATCTAAATTCGTTGGAACTTTGCAAATCCTTATATTTGCATCAGTGCTAGGTCAGGTGCGAAAATGGACAATATCGGTCCACTCCATCAAGTACCACCCCCACAATGGGTCCAAATTTAGAATAATCATAACTTTTATAAAATATTATGCAAGTGTCCGATTGTCTTAAAATTACATACATCACAATATTTGTATCAATCCAAAGTCTGGTGTGAAGGTGGAATATATCGACCCAGTCCTTCTGGTACCTCCTCCACAAAGTTTCAAAATTTTGAATATTCATGAAGCTCATAAAACACGAAATTAACCTCCGATTCCATTAAGACTAGGCACAAATCAATCATCCATCCATTCCATTATCACAAGATGTGTTATAAATATGGTAGAGATCGGACCATTCCTTCTTATATCTCCCCCACGAAGGGTCAAATTTTTGAAAAACCAAAACGTTTATAAAATCCGAAATAATCTCCCCCACAAAGTGTCAACATTTCAAGTATCCATGAAGCTCATAAAACGCGAGAACAACGTTCGATTCCATTCATACTTGATACATCTTAATATTTCCATCAAAACCAGATCTGTTATAAAGATGGTAGAGATCGGACCATTCCTTCTTGTACCTCCCCCACAAAGAGTCAAAGTTTTTAATAACCAAAACGATTATAAAATTCGAAATAAGCATCCGG